GGGGGGGGGGGGGGAGGAGAAGAGTTGTTGTGGCTTCACAGTGGGCACTCGTCGCCACTTGCCAACCTAAAAAGCTTACCTTTTCCTATTTTTACCAAATTATCTGAATCTCATTTTATGAATAAAATCGTTACATCTGAGTATATATATACAAGTATAATGTGACCTTAACCGAAAGTATCTACACTGGTTTATAATATACCAATTTACAATAAGTAAACCAATTAAACCAATACGATTAATACTGGATTAGCCAAAACTTATTGGGTTGACGACCTATTTCGATTTAAAAAGGCATGTAAATATATGTATATAGGAAAAAAATTATCGTCTTGTTTATAATTTTTAAAACAATTATCTATTGGTAAAAGATCAAATTTTATCCTCTTTTAATATATTTCATTTTGGATTTTTTTTATTTTGTTATTCTACTTCTCCAGGATGATTAGTCTTAAACTTTACAAGTGTTTAAGGGTTTTCATCATGATTAGTGAGTAAACAACTAGCGAGTCCATGAGTTAGGTAAATCTAGTGTGATTAGCGAAAAGTTCTAGTGTTTATTGTTAAATCTAATTGTTTCTGTACTTGCTCAGTATTTTTAATACTATTTGATCACTCTCATCTGGATCATAAATTCTTGATGCACTTAAGATGTTCGTTGTTGAATGAACTCAGTATTACTCTATAGATAATAATAAGTATAGTTTTAAGAAAATTAACAAGTAAAAATGTGAAACTTAATATAAAATCGCAAATAATGATAAGAGACTCAAATACAGATTGATATTTATATAAATCTGTTTTTGTACATTTTATATATATATGTTTGTGAGGTGAGAGTTTTGGCGCACGAAGCTGGTAAAGCTCCGTACGAGCTGCAGTGGTAGTCTATGTCTCTATGAAGATCTAGAAGCAAGCTACACCTTGCCAAAAGATATACTTCTCGACATCCATATCCCATTTTCCATTCTTAATATTAATAGAACCAAATAAATAAATAAAGAAATAAATAATTTACTCTAAGAGAAATTGGTGACAAAAACAAAATGTGTTCTCCCAAAAACTTCGACAATGCCCGCCAATTGAAATTAAACATCATTGTCAACTTTATCAAGCATACCATATGCCAATAATCTAATTTTCTTGTTGATCTTTTAGGAAATAACAAATATCCAACTAATTGTATAATGAAATCCAGTGTAATTTTTTTTATTTCTTTTAAATGGAATTCAACATTCTCACATATAAGGGTTCGTTCCAATCTCCCATGACAACAAAAGAAGATGAAACCACTTCACTACAAATTTGGTCACCAAAAATAGTTATGATCTATTTGTGGAAATGTTCTAAAACCTGACAATAAAACTAAATCATATCGATGTAATCAGGGAACGAGAACTGAGCGAGAGAAAGAGAGAGAGAAAGAGAGAACGCGTGAGTAATCGCCCCGGCGTCCGGCTGCGCGTCTGTGCGCGTGTCGGCGCCGGTGGCCCTTCTTTCTTCTGTTTAATTGTAGTCGTCGAAGTGGGTGGTTCGTGATGTCGTTTTTCTCCGATATACCGGCGGATCTGGTTTAGGGTTTTGTACCGGGAAGTTTCATTGATTCGTCTTGGGACGTTCAACGGTGACATCTCGCCTCTCCTTGGATTCGTGGTGAGGAGATCTGAGGACGACTCGCAGCGATAGTCTTTTGCTGTGTCCAAGTGTTCTCGTTACGGGAGGTGGCGGCTACGAAAGCTCCATCGACGCCGATTAAGATTCCGGGAGATGGAGGCTCCGACAGCTCCATCTTTGTCGGCTTTGTTTCCACGGAGTGAAGGCGTCCTTTGCCTTGCTTTGCTTTGGTGGCTTTTGTTTCTCCATAGTTGCTGTAAGGGTTGGTTTATATTTCTCGTTTTTATTGTTGCGGTTTCGATTAAGGTTTGATGGTGGAGATCCCGCCGGTGACGGTGGAAGCTCTCCGGTGAAATTGAGAGGTGGAATATGCCGTTGTTGGGGTGGTTGTGGTGAAAGACTACGGATGAGATCTCGTCACGGCGATTGATTCTCTCCGACATTGGAGCCTCGAGCTGTTTGCGGCGAAGTGAGGCGGAGCTTTGGAGCTCCGGTGAGGTTTGGTGATTTGAGGTGATGGTGGTGCTCCGGCGGTGTTCCGATTCGGCGACGGTCAAGTCGAGACCTAGGTGACGCGTGTCGCGCTGAGGATAAGATTTTCCACGTGTCCAGTCTCCTTGACGCGTGGGCCAGAAAAGTGAAGCCGGTCCGCGTGGTTAGGCCCGTGTAGTTTGGGTTGGTTTCGCCCTCAGTGTTGGGCTTGTAGTGTTTTAGTTGTTTGGGCTTCGGCCCGTTGTATGATGTTGGGTTTAGTCCCCTTCTATTATTAATGAAAAACCTTATCAGTGAAAAAAAAAAACTAAATCATATAAAAGTTTTGTGAAAATGGCCATAGTAACTACTCTATTCTTCCCTGTAACAGATGTAGTAAGGTAAGTTCTATATCATGATCCTATATTATATTTAAGAAAAATAACAATGAGTGATCCAAAATCTGATTGGACCTAGCTCAAAAGGACAGGTTTGGGGCTGCAAAACCGATCTACTCTCTTTTATTATTTATTAAAAAAAAAACAGAAATGATCAAATCCTAGCTACATCCTTGATAAACACTCCTACACCGGA